AATCAAGATCACGTAAAGTGTTAATACCCCTCTACAATGCCTTGGTAAGGCCACACTTGGAATACTGCATCCAGTTTTGGTCACCACAATGTAAAAAAGATGCTGAGACTCTAGAAAGAGTACAGAGAAGAGCAACAAAGATGATTAGGGGACTGGAGGCTAAAACATATAAGGAACGGTTGCTGGAATTGGGTATATCTAGTTCAGACATGTCAAACACAAGGCCCGCGGGCCAAAACTGGCTGCCATATGATTGGATGCGGCCCGGACAGCTATCCTGGAAATGACAAAGGTCCGGCCCCCCGCCGCCTTGGCGCTGGCCCGGAGAAAGCAAGCACACATGGGCTTATGGAGCCCAGCAACAGTTGCAGCTCATTGGCCCCTCGGCCGACCGCTCATTGGCCCAGCAGTCAGGCTACTCTGCTGCTTAGCAGCAGTAGCAGCAACAGGAACTCTGCCGCCCTCCCCCCTCCTCTAGCCCAGGAAAGTTGTGAGCCCAAAGGTGAAGTTGCCATCGCAGCCTGCTAGGCATATGGTAAGCCTGTAGCTGGGCTGGAGGGGGCAGGGCTCCAGGCAGCCTTCTGGCCCTTAACCCCTTGTTGTCAGCTAGGAAGAGAGGGGAGGATATGCAGGCAGGAGAGACTGAGGTATTCCTGTTCCTTTGGGTGCTCCAAGACCATCTCATTCTGGGGAAGCATCCCCACAAACTGAAAACTCAGCAAACATACAACAATTGAGCCCATCTCTCTCAATCTTTGTAACTTTAAGACAGCTGGACTTCAACTCCCAGAATTTCCCACTACCAAAGATCTGGACTAAAAGTACAAAAGGGAAGTCCTTGCTCCATGGTCCAGTGCCACAAAGCCCAAAACCCTTCATTGGCATACCACACATGTTAAACAATTGGCACTCAATAACTGATGGGCATCCTCCCCCGTGAGCCCCATCCCCTTGCCCCCTGGGTCCCCAAACCTCATTATGCTCTGAGGCTTTGTGGAAAATGCGTGGAAGTCAAAGAGGGATGCTTTGGGTCTCCCCCAAAGGACAGACCAACAGACCCTGAGAAATCTAACCAGCATTGCTTGCGAAAGCTAAATTTTGGATGGATATTTCAGGGATTTTGAGCTCTATTTCTGGGCTTCATGGACATAGGAGAGTTGTTGGAAAAAGATGGAGCAAGTGGTTCCTTGTTTCCTATTTGGGAAAGCTGGATGTGTCTTGATTCCCCCCCCCCCCCCCCGTAATCAGAGACTGGAAGGCAGCCCTGAAAATATCAGAATCTGATCAGAAATGGAGGAAGCTTAACTAGAGAGACTGAGTAGTCCTTGTGACTGCTAGATCAGCTTTGAAGTGATGGTGGATTGCTGATTTTTTCCTCCATCCATACAGGATCTCTCTTGTATAAAATATATATTTTCAATTGTATCAAAGAGGGCTGCAGTCGCTTGCTTTCTCTCCATAGATGTTGTGATATTGCTAAACCTGCTCAAAACTTCTGGACTTGCAGCATCCTACTGAGCCACCAGAGTGGATACCTAGCGTGCTCACAACTGCTTGCCTCACACGCACCTGGGACTTTGAGCTTTCTGTCCAGTTTCATCCATATATACATCTGCAGGAAAGAAGACTTGCGTGCCAATATTTAAAACCCCAAAAATGGCTAAACGGAAAGTGGATTCTGAAAAAAGATGCTTTCAAAAGAGGTGGGATGTCACAGCAGCATATGTTCACAAAAGCAAAATCACAAAGTGAAGCTGCTGTGAAAGCTAGTTTTATAGTGGCAGAAGAGATAGCTAAATCAGCCCGGCCATTTACAGAGGGGGAGTTTTTGAAGCACTGCATGATTAAAGTATGTGAAGTCTTGTGTCCAGACCAAAAGCAAGCTTTTTTTAATGTAAGCCTAAGCAGAAATACTGTTGTTGATCGGATATGTGAGCTTGCCACTGATTTACAAGGACAATTGGTTGAAAAGGGAAAAGAATGTATTGCTTATTCCCTTGCTGTGGAGGAGAGCACTGACGTCTCTGACACAGCACAGCTGACAATCTTCATCCGTGGAGTGGACTCAAGTTTGTGCATTATGGAGGAACTTCTGGCTATAGAATCAATGCATGGCACTACCACCGGAAAGAACATATTTGAAGCAGTATCCAAAAGTATAAATGATATGAAACTGCCCTGGGACAAACTTATAGGACTCACAACAGATGGAGCACCTTCAATGTGCGGGGAAAAGAGTGGATTAGTAGGAAGGATGCAGGAAAAAATGAAGGGCAAGAATTGCACAGGTGAACTGATAGCATATCACTGCATCATACATCAAGAAACACTATGTGGCAAAGCCCTGAAAATGGAACATGTAATACACACTGTAACACAGATAGTTAATTTTATAAGAGCCAGAGGTTTAAATCACTGTCAATTTAAGTCTTTTCTTGAAGACATAAATTCTGAACTTGGTGATCTCCCTTATCACACAGAGGTGTGATGGCTAAGTCGAGGAAAAGTGCTCAATAGATTTTTTGAATTGCGTATGGAAATCTGTCAGTTTATTGAAAACAAAGGAAAAGACTCCACAGCATTGCGGGATGAAAAGTGGTTATGTGAATTAGCTTTTCTATGTGACATTACTAATTATCTCAGTGCACTAAACCTTCAGCTTCAGGGACGGGACCATGTGATCACAGACATGTACGATGCTGTGAAAGCTTTTTAAGTAAAGCTGCGACTGTGGGAGACTCAGATGCAGCAAGGAAACTTGAGTCACTTTCCCAGTTGCCAAACAATAAAAAACCAAGTCTCCACCACTGTGTTCTCAAGTGCTCAGTTTGCTGATAAACTGAGCACACTTCAGATGGAATTTACACATCGCTTTGTTGATTTTGAAAGACAGAAATTCAGTTTTGGATTGCTCAGCAATCCATTTTCAGTCGAAGTGGAGAGCGCACCTGTAAATATCCAGATGGAGTTGATAGAACTCCAATGTAATAGCATGCTGAAGGGAAAGTACGATTCTGTAGGACCCACACAGTTCACCAGGTTCATCCCTGAAACAATGCCCCAACTCCGCCTACAAGCTGCTCGAATGCTCTGCATGTTTGGGAGTATATACCTATGTGAGCAACTTTTCTCTGTCATGAGGGTGAACAAAAGCGCACACAGAAGTCTGCTCACTGATGCACACCTCCACTCTATCCTGAGAATATCCACAGCTCAAAACCTAACGCCAAACATGGATGAACTTGTAGCCAAGAAAAGATGCCAAACATCCAGTTCGGACAAAATGGCATGAGAACTAAAAAGCTTGTGTTTTTCTTTGTTTAAAATTTGTTTTTGCAGATTTATTTGAAATAAATAATTTATTTGTTCACATTTGAAATTTTAATCCTTTTTGCCCCACTTCTTAGACATAATACACTTCTGAACTAATACGATACAATAGTCTTACTACATGCAACTGGCCCTTTGAAGGCAACCATGATGCTGATGTGGCCAAAGTTTCCAGGAAGCAGTTTCCTCCAAGTCCAACTTCTGCCTTGAAAGATCTCTGGAGAGGAGCAGGAGGTGGCAGGGAAGCTGCGTGAGGGAAGGCTGCTCCAACAAGCCAGCATCCTTACCATGCATGATTGGAAATGGGGATTCCCTTTCAAGAAGGGCCAGCCTCCCTCATGCAGGACTGGGAAGTGCTGCTCCCCTGCCTCCTCCTCTTGCTTTCCAGAGATCTGTCAAGGCAGAAGAAGGAAACTACACACACACACACAAACACATTCCAAGCTTGGAGACTAGGAGGCTATTCAAATCTGAGCTAGCAAACTATAATCATGCCTGGGCTTGGGAAGAAGGCCCTTTCCATCCTCTGTGGATAAAAGTCCCCAAACTTGGAATGCAGTGTATGTGCGTATGCATGCACACATGCTTGGCTGCCAGATGTTTGGGGAGGTGAAGAGCTTGTGGGACGAGTTGTCCCTACATCAAGTTAGCCAGTGCAACTTGTTCTGACCTGTCCCAGGTATCTCGAGTCAGCTGCGCTGAGTGAGCAGCATTGAACTGGCCATGCCCACCCGGCCACGCCCACCCAGCCCTTTGAGGGCAACCATAATACTGATGCGGCCCTCAATGAAATTGAGTTTGACACCCCTGGTCTAGTTTAATGAAGAGAAGGATGAGGGGGGATATGATAGCAGTGTTCCAATATCTCAGGGGCTGCCACAAAGAAGAGGGAGTCAAGCTATTCTCCAAGGTGCCTGAAGGCAGGACAAGAAGCAAGGGAGGAAACTGATCAAGGAGAGAAGCAACCTAGAACTAAGGAGAAATTTCCAGACAGTTAGAACAATTAACCAATGAAACAATCTGCCTCCAGAAGCAGTGAACGCGCCAACACTGGACGTTTTTAAGAAGAAACTGGACAGCCATTTGTCCGAAATGGTGTAGGGTTTCCTGTCTGAGCAAGGGGTTGGACTCGATGACCTCCAAGGTCCCTTCCAACTTTATTATTATTATTATTATTATTATTATTATTATTATTATTATTATTATTATTATTATTATTATTATTATTATTATTATTATTATTGTTGTTGTTGTTGTTGTTGTTGTTATTGTTACTACTACTACTACTACTACTACTACTACTACTTTAAACACCTGCCAACATTGTAGACGATGGGTGTGTATGTGTGTGGGTGCGGTAATTCATTACCTGAGGTAGTTTAAAATTGGAGGTTGTCCAAGATCTCTTCCAGCCCTACGATTCTATGGAAACAATCTGCATTTAAATCAGATTCAAATGTTCACTGGGTATTTTTTTCAACAAGTGACTGAAAGAATCGCTGACACTTTAAGGAAGAACTGGAACAGATCGCAACCGAGTGGGGGGGGGCGGTCAGTTTGCTTCCGCAACTTCATTAAGGGAACCGAGAGTAGCACACTGTATTTAAAGCAAATCGTTGAGGCAATCAAGCTGCTTTGCTGCAGGGAGGGCTTCTCTTCCTAGTCCGGTGATGATGATGATGCTTCTCATCTTCCAACAATGCATGAAAATCCTCACCCTGCCCATCCACGTGCTTGCCTATTTTGGCTTATGGGACCCTATTTGTAAAAGAATTTTCCCGTTTCTCGTGAAGACAGCGAGCAAATCCTACAATGCAAGAATGCACAAGGAAAAGGAGACGCTATTCAAGCACATGCGGGATTTCGCCAACGCCTCGGGAAAGCTCCACGTGTTGGAGATCGGCGTGGGCCCCGGCACCAACTTTGAGTTTTATCCACCCAACTCGCGCGTTACCTGCGTGGACTACAATCCCAACTTTAGAAACGTCCTCCTGGAGAGCATGGCTCAGAATACGCACCTGCAGTTCGAGAATTTTGTGGTCGGCTCCGCCGAGAACATCTTTTCGATACCGGACGGCTCTGTGGATGTGGTGGTTGGCACGCTGGTGCTTTGCTCTGTCGACAACGCCCAGGCTGTCCTGAAGGAAGTTGTGCGAGTGCTCAGACCGGTAAGTCAAAGAGCAAGGAGGGGAATTCAGTCTGGTCTGAGAGACCTCCAGAAAATACTAGGTTGAAGCTAAACTGGAAAGTTAAAACAACATCTCTGAGCAATGACAAGCCACTTTTAAAGTGTTTCCAAAAATACCCCCCTCCCCATGGGGAAGTCTGCATGAAATCACCAGGGATCAAGTTTGATTTGATTTGAGTAGGAACCCGAATAGATCAAGCTGCTGATACTGTAGCAGGAGGACAAGGAGGGTTTACATGAGGAAAACATAGGGGAAAGAGCTTTATGCTGTCACAGCTGTAATTCTCAGTATGCCACCCTGGAAATTTACCATTTCTGCTCTCCTATTTTTCAGTCAGTCAGCTTGGCACATACAGAATTGTGTCCTGACCAGAGTGATCTTTGGTGAGATCTGGCTATTTAGAGTCAAAAAAGGGTCAGTAAGATACTATAGGCAGGGATTTATAGTATCACATAAGATCTTTCTTTAGCACAACAAAAGGTCAAATGGATGAGAGAAGAGTTCGAATTCTCAAGGTGATGTGGTATCTAATACTATACATAAAGTTAAGACACAACTTTCTATTACTTTTTATTTTCAGAGAGTGAGGTAAATGAATCTTCCCTGCACAACTAATAGTAATTTTTAATAACTCAGGTTTTATACCAGCACCATTCAGTACTTCTTTTTTGTTGCAAGATTGATAAAAAATCCCAGTGCATTGTTGAAATCTTATTCCCAACATTTATTATTTATATTTCTATTGTCACTTTTGGGGAACAAATTCAAAGTACAAATTCAAAGCAGAATGCAAAGGGATGAGCTGCTCCATAGTTTTGGGTAGAGTTTTCTTTTTTTCTTTCATCCACTCTAAATGTTTTTTTTCCTTACCGTTTATTAAATTTATATGCCATCCATCTTGTGGTTCAAGGTGACCCTGCATGGTTTTAAACTTTGTTTAAAACTATAATTAATAATACAGCAATTTATAAATTGTTATAAAATGTTATGCTGCCCATATTTAAATTCAAAGTGAACTCTGGGTGGTTTTAAATTTTATTTAAATCTTTAATAATACAGAAATTTATTTATAAAATTTATATGCCGCTCATCTCCAAATTCAAAATGACTCTGGGTAGCTTTAAGCTTTATTTAAAACTTTAACAATAATACAGATATAAAGATACATTATTTCCCTATTTTATTTTATTTTTGTAATATATTTTATTCATTTTTTAAAAAAACATAAATCACTTAATAATTGGTGAACAGTGTGTTGTCTGGGTTACATTTGTAAAACAATCACTAACAATTGATTTCTATAATCCATAATCCACATAATAGTTTTAGTTGATTTCCTGTTTTCCCAAAATATCCTTTTGCAAACATTGAGTTAATACATTTCTTATTGTTTTGATAGATAACAATTAAATATATATTTTTCCCAATAGTCCTAAAAATAATCACATCAATATA